AAAAAAAAAAAAAAAAAAAAAAAAAGAACGAGAAAAGGCAAACAACAGATGCTGCCCCCCAGCACCCCTATGAGCTACAAGGACCCAGCTTCATACAAGTTTTTGTTGTCTTCTTTGTGTATTTCGTGTTAAATATTAAATTTAATAAACATTTCTTCTGCTTTCTTCTACTTTCTGTATGCAGCACAAGCAAACTGAGGTGTACGTACACCCGAGCAAGACGAGTGAGACAGCCCGGGTTGTGGTGCTTCCAGCAGGGGGGTGGCGATCTGCTGTATTCTGAGGGTATACTGGGTTCAAAAGAAAAGAAATTTAAATTTAATTGCATTTATCCAAAGAAGAACACAAAAAAACCGCAAAAAAACGTCAAATTCCCCCCCTGCAAGCCCCTGACCCGCGGTGTATGTACACCGCCCGAGGCGTTCGTCGCTATACGGTTCTGCCCGTTCAGAGGATACCGAAAAGGAAAGCTGAAATAAATGTTAATTTAATTCATTTTATTTACTTTTCATGCATCGTGAGTCAATAAAGCAATGCATTTCCCGCCTATGCATGCACAGCAGCTGCAGCGGCCGCCGACGCCCGGGTATTGAACAAGCGAAACAGAGAGGAAGCTAGGGTCTTTGTTTGCGTTTCTTCTGCATTTTCTTATTCTTTAATTCATTTTTCTTGTTTGTATTAACTTATATTCTCCGTATTCCGCCTTTGTGTGCCCTGAAACGGGGCGGTTTCCCTCACGCATCCTGAGGTGTACGTACACCGCAGCTGCAGCAGGAGCTGCTGTTGTCGCCTATGCAAGATGAAGCCTCCACTCTTTCCAAACAAAGGCGGGGGTAACAGCTCTTCTCACGGGCTCGACCCCCCACCAAACTCTTCTGAAATGCCAGCGTCAGTGTTGGAGCCGCTGCAGCCTGGGGCATCGAGCAACAGCAGCAGCAGCAGCAGCAGCAGCAGCAGCAGCAGCAGCAGCAATAATAATAATAATAATAATACTAACAATCCTTTCGAAGACTACGGCGATGCACAGGACCACCCCTGCGTGGAGAATGCTTCAGCCGGTTCTTTAACTGCTTTTGCTGCAGCAGCAGACAGCAGGGGGGCCCCCCGTGGGGGTGTGGGGGCCCCCGTTGCTGCTGCAGCTTCTGTGCTGTACCCTGAAGGTTTACCTAAATTTTTAGGATTGTTGCAACCTACAATAACATTTGGTGTTGGCCGCTTAACTCTAAGCAGAGGCATGGATTTCATCGCTTATTTTGTTGCTGTTTCCACTCTTTTTTCTTTTTTTTGTTTTGTTTTTACTGTACACTGGATGCAGCGTATTTGTATTCCTTTGGTTAAATACTGGAGCAGCAATCATACACTCGCACTCGGTATCTTTATGTCGCTTCTAGGTGAGTAG